AAAAGAAGACTTCAAATACTATCACCATTTTGTCATAATGAATATGATTATTACTGGCTCCGAAAATAGATCGATTCAAATTAGTGGAGTCCAAGTACTTTTTGGGCAAGGTATATTTTTTACTGTGTGTTTAAAGTTCTTCTTAATACATTAATATAATATTATTATTTTAAACACGTATATAATCTATATTTAAAAAAAATTTAACACGTGAAAGATATATATTAGACTATCCAAAATTTTGAAAAAACCAACAATTTTATTAATTTTAATACATGCAAACTTGCTTACTTATCTTGAATTTTTATATATTTTTCTCTTAATTTTTTTTATTTAAAGTTTTATTATTTAGTTTAATTTTAATTTGACCTATAATTATTTAGTCCAATTTTGATATTACAAATTTATAAAAAAAATTACTTTTTTTTCTAGTGGAATTCGAAATTAATTTAATTTAATATAAAAGTCAAATATCGTTGACCAAATAGACGCGGGCGTTTGACAAATTACTTACCCTCGTACTTTTGACCGTAGTTGATTTTTTTTACCCTCTTTTGTTTTTTACTGCAGTCAAATGTTTTTTTACTGCAGTCAAATGTTCCCAAAGCTTTTTGCGTGTCGTCTAATACAGAAATGTAGAAATACAGAGTTCGTTGTTGGCTGGTTGGCTTTTACTTTGTCGCCAACTCTCATTTCTTTCCTTCTTCTTTCCATCTCCAACCACCGCCTGTACCCACCCTAGACGCCTTCTGTTTGTCTGACTGTGATTCCTCTCTTTCTCTCTTTTTCTTCTTTGTTTCGCTTCCATGGCTTGGCGTCTCTGAAATTTCACTTCTGCCTCCAGATCTGTGTTCGATTCTCAACAGTAACTTGGAGAGTTCGGCGTTCGGTAAAGCGATATCGATCTGATCATTTTGCTGAAATTAAGCGTTGCAGACGAGAGAGAGAGAAACACGGAGAATTAAATGGCTAGTGCTAAGACGGCTCGTTCACGAGCCACGCCGGTTAAGGAGAATGGTGCGAAATTCGAGGAGGGACTCAATGTGTTCAGGTCTGATAGGTTTGACGCCGATGCTTATGTACAGTCCAAGTGTTCTCTCAACGAGAAGGTTCGTTTCCGTGTATTGTGATTTTTTCGAGTGTGTTTTATGTGTTTTTCAGCTTTTGAATTTGTGGTTTCGATCTGTTTGAATGACCGTAAAATCGGGAAAAGAAATGAAACAAATAGAAAACAGTAGTTGCAGTGTAGGTTGAATTAGGTCTTTTAGTTGTTACTATTTATAGATTTATTTTTGTTGTTAGATATTTAATTAGTTTATCCACAAGCGGGGATTTTGGATAATATTGACTTTGGTTCTGTTGACGAAATTTGACGGAAATTGGATTATAATCTCTTGTTGCTTGGAGGAACGGCAAGTAGAAATAGATTGTATGGAAATGTCTGTCTTATTATGAAAATGGCAGTGTTGAGGTTCCAAGTACAGAAGCCTAGTCAGCCATGACAGAATCTATTAACTGATGTTTAAATAAGAGGAACCTAGCTTATTTAGTGCCAAGTGACAACATTTTGTATCTGATTAAGGTAATTTTTTTTTTTTTGGCATTCCGTGTCACTTGAGTACTTGCCAAATGGATTTGGTAACAGAGAGCTTATGTGGTGGAGAGGAGCAATGGGATGGATAAACTTCTGATTTGATCTCTCTATGCAGGGATTATGTTTCTGCTGTGAACTATTGATGGCTTTTTGCTTGTCCTATTTAGGAATTACGGAAATCGAGATAATAAGTAAACCCATGTCTTTTTTTCTCTTTTTTTTGGGGGGGGGGGGGAGTGCGGGGGTAAAAACCACATATTTCTTCATATAGCTCCTTTGATAATTCTTTTGATAAGTAGATTAATTTACAAGACAACAAGGTCGTGGCACCCATGAATTTTGTGTAGGCAACCTAGCTGCATTTCAAAATGTCAACTACATATATAGGCTCATTTTTTAGGAAATATATGGCCACTGTTCGAAATATAGGTTCTCGGCCGAAATTCTTGCTCTTGGAAAGGGAGATTCAACATCTTCAAAAGCTTCCCACATGAAGAAAGTTGCTTTCATGGGTGCTTGACTTTCAATTGAAAGTTCACTATGCTGGCTGCCTTTATTTTTTCATTCTCAGTGTAGCAGCTCAACCTCAAAAGTCTCCTTTTTTTAAGCCAAATGGCAAACAGTTTTGTTCGCAAAATTATTGGATGACTTGTTTACACATAAATCTTTGCGTTTTTTGTTTAGTATTGATGCGTTCGAGTAAAACATGCTTAGACACGGTTATAGTTGTGTCTGAAGAAGCTGTAAACTTTATTCCATGGTTTTTTTCTATACTATTGCATTGTTTGTAGGGCTAGATACAAAATTAGTATCCCTCAAAAATAGGACAGAATATATTCTTCTAAAAGGTTTATGAAACCATGGAATATTTCTGCATATTTCTTCTCCTAGATTTTCTCATAATATTTCTGCAATGTCAATATTGGCTTGGTTATATTTCGTCAATATAGGTACCTCCTTTAGAAAAGAATATACAGGTCAAATCATGCGCAACTTATTTGCATATTGTCGACTCTCTTCAACTCTTCACATGAGAATTGGTTGGGATTTGATTTTTCATTGATAAAAATATTTACATTCTTGCAAGTGTTTAGTTGGTCAAATATATATGCATATATACATACATATATATCATTTAATTGTTTTGGAATAGATAAAATTCAGGCACAAGCCACCAAGGTGATGGCCCTCATACAGAACATGTGGGGTCTGAACCACAAAAGTCTAATCATATGAAAAGAAGAACAGATGCTCTCAAGCACTCTTCTATTCCTTTTTGCTGAAATAACCCAAAAATGGCTAGAGGGATGAGCTAGATGATGCTAATCTGGTTCTTCCCAGCAATGAGAACATTCCAATTCTTTTTTTTTTTTTTTGAAATAAAAGTGAGTTGTAGTATTAATTAGAGTGCCGAAGGGGCAGACTTGTGTACAAAAGATAGTATTTATAGACTAGTAAGTATATCTACAATGTATCCAAGATCATCAAAAGAGTTAGGGTTGCGACCAAGGATAATGGAGCCAAAAAATTGAAGCCATCTATCCTTAATAGTGGCAAAATTTATTTCTTTGCTCTAAAAAATTCTACAATTTCTTTCTTTCCATATAATCCATAGTATTGTTAAAGGAATGACCCTATGCCACCTAACTGAGGTTGAAAAAACCAAAGGCCCTATTTGAAAAATTATTGGCCAAAGGAAACTGCTGGAACATGTGATTCACAATCTAGTTGATCCAGAAAAGAAACCATTTACTAGGATTTGCCTCTTTTCTTCAATTTGTTGATGGTCGTATCCTACTCAAGCAGTCTCTCAATTGAAAAACATTTGAATAGGGAGGCTTCTTCTTCCAGATCTGTGTACACAGTAATTTATATGGGTTACCAGCTGAAAGACATCTGTAGTAAATTACGGAGGTTATTACTTAAGCTCTTACTCTCTTATCGCTTTTTTTGTAGTGGGTACTTCTTTCATCCCACTTCATGTGTATAAAACAGTATATACATTTCATATACTGAATAACTATAGCCACCACGACCTTTATGGTAAATTGAGGTCGTAATAATTGGAATAAAGACTTTCTTTTGGATAAATAAGAAATTGTTAGAGATAAGTGAACTATAGACAGACTATCCAAACTGTTAAATTATGACATAGTATGCAACTTAT